TCATTATTATTCTCATCTCCTCAGTTGGTTTCTTCCTATCTGTAGTAGGTAAGTTCAGGATGTGTGGGTTGGAGCGTTTCTCTAGCTTTTGATTCATAACACATTTCTTTTACTTAACCTGGGAACTCTTGCCATTGTTAGCAATAAGCTATCTTGGTATTTAAAACACACCATCAATATAGTGTCATATGGCTCAGAGTGCCTTGAGAGTTGGTCCAGGAATGTTTTTTGTTTTCTTTCACCTTCTGTGTAGGTGATCTTTAGCAGTAGTTACTCCTTTGCTTTTTTCATTTCTTGTATCCGAATAATTTCTCTGCCACTCTTCTTTGTCAGATTGCAATAAAAAAACCCAAATTTGGCTTCTCTCTCTCTCCCCCATATTGATTGAACTCTTCTGTATTGATGTTCCAGTTGAGGATCATCCCACCAAATTTCATTTATGCCCAATATATCATATTCTCCATTTATTTATTTTCATTTATAGTTTTTGCTTGTTTTCCATACCCTTGTATGTGTGTATCGACATCATAATATGCTAATGTCCTATGTATTATTTATCCTTTTTATTTCAAACAGCTCTGTCTTCAAGCCTACCTTGTCTGTTGGAAATACACATCTGTTCACTGAGTTAAGTGAAAGATCCTGTTCTCCCTCTTCCCATCCCCTTCTATTGTGGGTAATTAAAATACTTCTTAACAAGGTCTGCTAGAGTTGAATCTAGGAGGTTGGTACCTTTTCTGCTTAAATAGACTCTTAATTACTTTACATATTCCATTAATCGCCATTAAAAAATGCTGATAAAAGATTGATTTAAATCAAAGTGTGTTCTGCAGTAATGTAAGCATGTCCAGAAATGTGGTATAATCAGTAAGAGCAGCAAAGAAGATGGTTACCTGAGGAGATTGGTAATGGGTTATAGTGTTATATCTTTTGTCTCCAGAGTATCAAATCCAATCCAGACAAAGGTCACTACTGATCAAGTAGTTGTCATCTGCTAGTTTTTTTTCATAACCTATATGAAATATGTTGGAGTGGGGGAATCTTACTTCAGTTACTAGTGGATAGGCATCCAGATCTAGAAAAACATCTTTTGAATTGGTCCATTTGTTCCTTTACTTTGATTCCATGTCATCAAAAAGCTTTCCAGAACAGTGTGTGTTGTGTCCTGTAGGACAATGAATTTAGGCTCTTGAGTTCATGGAAAGTGAATTCCATATCTTGGTACCCCTCACTGAGAACTTCTAGCTTCTGCATGTTTGTTTTAAACAAGGGAACTGTAAGCTTACATAACTCCGACGTCTCAATGACTTTAAGTGTTAGATGGAGAGAGAGAGAGGTGGTCTATTAGGCAACTATTTTTAAGGAATATGGATTAAAATCAACACCTTAAATTTCTCTGTAGGACCAATGAGAATCCTATGTAGATCAGAGAATGCAGGTGCAATGTTCTCCCTGTAAGAAATGGTGCTCCGCAAATGGATTGCCAAGTTGAGCACCTAAAGTTCTAGGTCGATCAGGGTTACCAAAGAAGAGGATGCAACTTCCTGGCCAAGCATAAATTTTAAGTAATCTTGACCACTGCCACTACCTGAACTTTGATTGGCAGTTGCAGGTCCATCAGGACTCCCACATTACAAACCTGAATAACAAAAGGCAGACAAATTCTTGTAATAGAGGGAGCAGTTATTATCACCTCTGGTGATGGGTTCTCCCAACCCATCAGTATCACCTGAGTCTCATCTGGGTTAAAGTGCAATCAGCTTACCCTCTGCAAGTTCTCATCTCAACAAGACACTAAGTGGCAGCTTACTAGCCAGACCTAATGAAAACAAACATAAAGATGGGTGCCTTCTGCATATTGGAGAGACTGTGGTCCAGACCCCCCATTGGGGTAGATGAGCAAATACCAGAACCAATACAAAGGAAATACCAGGGCCTGAGTCCTTCAACAAGAAAAGAACTGAGCCACTTCAAAAACTATTCCTTCCATCCCTGTCAGCGTCCACAGTTGTTGACCAGAAGGTGTTGTTGGCACAGTATCAAAGGTGCTGAGCAAATTAAAATTAGAATGAATATCTGGTTCTTGTAATTTGCCAGCAGGAGATCAACCAACAAGAACATAAGAATGGCCATACTGGGTCAGACCAAAGGTCTATCTAGCCCAGCATCCTGTGTGAAAAAATACTTCCTTTTGTTTGTTTTAAACCTGCTGCCTATTAAACCTCTGCAGTCTCCATACCCATACTCCAATACCCAGACTTAAAACTGTATCTATTATGGTCAAAGAAATCTAAGGACTCTGGGTATTGCCAGAGTTGCTGCCCCACTACCTTCTTGATAACCTTTCCCATCAAAGGGAATTAGAGATTTGACATTAACTAGTGCAACTGTCAATACCCAAAGATAGTTTATTGAATAAGAGCCCAACAGTTACTTTCTGGCAGAAATAAACAAGCAGAGATGACATCACATTTTCCTCTCCCACATGGATGGAATCAGTGAAGGTATGAGGGACAAGAAATGGTTCACTCCTTCACTCCCCCCACCCCAACTTCTGTCCAGCTGTAAAGTGAAAGGAGCAGCAAAAATGAACAATTCTTTCCTAGCTGTGCTCCCTCTCACTTTTGATAGTCACAAGAACTCCCTTCCCCCATTTGTACTATTTTTCCCTGTTGTGGGAGGCTGGATGACATGAGTGAGAGGAGGAGGCTGGGACATGAACTGTGTGTGAGAGAATATAAGGGAGATGCCCACCCTTTCAAGAATTAGAAAAGGGTCTCATTTATTCTATCCATCTTTGACTTCTCTCTTTCTTGCTCCACCGATTTAGGCTATGTCCAAATCTTGTCACTTATTCCTCTGTAACATCTGTAAGATCTGTTTTTTTTTCTCTCTCTCCATATAACTAAATTATTTTCCAAGCCTTTATCATCTACTGAATTGATCAGTGCAACCTCTTCTCCTTTGCGCTCCTCACATCCATGTCACCCCCTCCAGTTCATTCGATACCTAACCACTAACATCGTCTTGCTTGGCTGTTGCTCTGATCGCAATCTCTCTGAATCCCTCCATTGACACTCCCATTTCCACCACGTAAAATTCAAGTTTGCCTGAACCTACATGGACCTTCACACTGCTTCCCCTCCTTATCCATCTGCTATATATGTTCTCAGTGATTCACCAATGATACCAATCTCTACTGTCCATTACTTGCACAAGCATCTCCGTGCTTTCTTCCATACCATCCTCTTATGCATGTAATACACTTTTGAAATTGGGCTGTAAGGCCTCTACCCTAAAACCCACTTCATTATAGAAGTGTACAGGAAATTGTTGATAGTGGCTGAGAGCCAATCCAATATAGGGATTGATGACTATATATATTATATGGGTTGCTGTCTCTGAAACCTGTTAGTGTTACATAACATTTCCCATTATAACACTGTATTTTCAATTGTTTATAACTTTTCTAAAGTTTAAATAACTCAGGTTGACTCATTCCATGTTTGGTCTCTGCCTTGCATGTTTTTTTCTCAGCAAAAACAGTTCAGCCATAGTCAAAAATAAGGTCAGAGGAAAACAGGTAGTTTTAACAATAACCCATTTTCCTGACCAGTTTTTAAGGAGCTTTTGTGCCTTGTGGATTTGGAGCAGGAACCTGAAATTTGACAGGGGCTTGTCCTAGGGTTACAGTAGTGCCTTTTGCCGTTTCTGTGAAAATCCATTCAGATTTGCACAAGGTATAAACCACAGGCTTGCTACTAAAATATCTGAAAATTCCATCTACATGGAGTGTGCTTGCCAGCCTCCCTGAGCCTCCTGAAGCAACCACACAGACCAGATGGGATGGGACATCTGGATGGGACAGACAGTTGCAGCCTATATCGATGCAGGATCTCATAATTAGTCTTTCCCTTTCTAATTTCTCCCTCTTGTTGTCCTGCTGTTAGTAATCATTTTTCTTGTCTTAAATAGATTATAAGCTCTTTGGGACAGGAACTGTCTATTTATATAATTGCACAAGGCCCAGAACAATGGTGTATTCTGCTGATTGGGGCATTTGGGTACTGTTGTGATTATTGCACCTGAAAAGATACCCTAAGCTCAATTGTAAAAGGTATATGAAAGTTCATAAGATTTTACAATAACCATGAAAAATAGGTCAAGTTGTTTACGACAGTGAATGTTATAATAGGTTCAAGGAAACCAGACAGAAAAACTATCTGTCCAAACAAAATGACCTACTGATATAAGTCAACGACTGTGGGGAGATCATACTTGGTAATCAAGAAAATGTGGGAACAAAGTTACCTCTCCCAATTTTGGCTTACAGAAATTGATTTAACTGATGGACAAAATAATGAGGATAAAATATGCTGTCCACTTTTACTACTTTTTGGGGCTCTTAAAAAAAGAGATTTTGAAGGGGAAACAATCTTCTCTCAGCTCATCTGCCAGCATTGCAACTCATCTTGACTCATCTAAAGGACTTTCATCCTGAGATGAATGCTGGTTGGCCTTGGTCTTGTTTAAGGAACTTTGTTTTCATCTGTAAGGACTGAAAATCATCACACTATCATGACATCCAGTCCTCAGCCCTCCAGTGGAGATAGCTAATTATCAACATTACAAAAGCTTGTAAGATCCTATATTGTATTCCCTTCCCTTGCTCTGGTGTTTTCTTCCCAACTATTTCTTTCCTCCTGTCTTATCTCTCTCTCTTGGCTTTTCATCAAATCCTGAAGTCAGCTATACTGCATTCATCATTACTGCCTTGTCTAAGGATCTAGCCAGATGATGCCCCTGACCAGATTGTAACTAATCAAGCTTCAAAGAGCAGGTGTTGTGTGGTTGACTTGCCAGCCAAAACATCCACTCATAACTAACCAGTGGTCCAGTGTTTCCTTTTCTATCCTGTTTCTCCTCCACCTTGAGTCTGTGAATCTCCTTCACCTCAGGACTGAGAGTAAAATTAACTTTTTCCTTTTTTTATCAGAAAAGTTGTTCTGAAAATGGGAGAGTCTGATACTTTGACTCCAAAAGGAGACAGACTTTGGTAAGGTCTGAAATTTATTTTGCATAATCACTCAGTTTCAATATAAATGCTTGTTTTAATTTCTTGGGTGTTTTTTTTTTTTTAGTTTAATCAGTATATTTTTAATTTGAATGAATGATTTTGGGTGTTTTGCCAAGTAACAGAGTAAACCCAAGGCCTCTATTTAAAACTAACCCCAAACCTATCTATCTCTGTTTAATGTTGGACAGTGAAAGAGTTTAACACGTTTAACTCTTTAGGCCTTTGAGATCAATATCTATACAGCAGTACTACTGCAATGCAAATAGTACACATCAGCTCAAATGGTAGAGGTAAGGGGGCTAGCTTAGGACTTCGAAGACCTGGGTTCAATTCCCTGCCCTACCACATAGTTCCTATGATCTTGGGCAAGCCAATCTGTGCCTAAAGATAAATTGGGGATAACAGTACTTCTCTATGTCACACATAAGTACTTCAGACAGATATGTGGGATGTTACTACCTTGAAGTTATTTCACTGAGACCAGGAAATCATCCGCAATCAAATCCAGGTGCATTGTACAGCCACTCAAAAGCTAAAATCTTAAATTTGTGTAAAAAAACCATTGCTCTGTTTTAGGAAATGGTGACAAAACACATGAGGCCAACATTTCATGTTTTATTGTTTGAACTGCCAAATAAAATACAGTAGATTCTGCATATTAGAAACCTCTCAGTTCCCAGCAAAAAGTTGTTGTTTGGAAGTTGCCAATAAGTGGAAGGCACTGTTTTCAAGGTGTGACAAAGCTCCTCCTCTGCCTTGGTGGGTCTTGTGCTTTTTGACAGCTTTGCTCACCTCAGAGGTTCACGGCAACCCTCAATTCGGCTGCTTCTGCTAGAGGCTCAAACCTGCTGTTCACTCAGCTAACCTCATCACTGGCCAGCATGGGGGAAACGGAGAACAATCCCCACAGTCTCTGTGTCCCACCGAGTGAGTTGGGGACAGGCCAGATCCCTTTCTAAATTATACCTTCCCTTCTGGTGTTTCTCACAGACCAGGTCAGCTCCTCCTGTGTCCGACCAGGAGTTGGGGGGATGAGGGGAACCCAGGCCACCCTCTACACTGGGTTCCAGCCCAGGGCCCTGTGGATAATAGCTGTCTACAATGTCTCCTGTATCAGCTACATGACAGCTACAACTCCCTGGGCTACTTCCCCATGGCCTCCCCCCAGCGCCGCCTTTATCCTCACCGCAGGATCTTCCTCCTGAAGCCTGAGCTTGTAACTCCTCACTTCTCCAGCAGCATGCCTTCTCACTCCCTGCTCCTTGCATGCCCCCCACTAACTGATGGGAGGTCCTTTTTAAACCAGGTGTCCTGATTAGTCTGCCTGCCATAATTGATTCTAGTATGTTCTTAATTGGTTCCAGGTGTCTTAATTAGCTTGCCTGTCTTAATTGGTTCTAGCAGGTTCCTGATTGCTTTAGCACAGCCCCTGCTCTGGTCACTCAGGGAACAGAAAAGTGCTTATCCAGTGGCCAGCATTTTTTGTTTAAAATGTAAAATAAGTTTTCAAGAACAAAATTTGTCTGCTTTTTATGGTTGGCCACCTCCACTTGTAAATCCTTCTCAGTCTTGCGTACAGTCTCATAGCCATTCTCAAAGCCATGATTCTATCATATCTTGTGGAAAACATCGACGGCACTTAGGTGTTCTATAAGCGAAGGCTCTTCAGGTTTATCATTCAATGCAGTATTATCTTGTACCTCTTGTGGCTCATCAGCCTGTAGGTGCTTCACAGCGGCTGCTGTCTCCAGAAATTCTGCATCAGTGAACTCACCTTCCATCTGCAAATGACTGTCATATTCAACAGTGGTCTCAAATTCATGTGCTTTTCGTTTCTGGAACTGATGCATTGGCCAGCACATTGATGTCTACCAGACCAGCACTTTCTGTTGCTGTTGAAAACTGCTTCAGAAAGGAAGGGTTTGCAACAGTCTTGGGGAGAACAACGGCCCATGGCTTCTTAACAAGATGAAATGCATCAGTCAGAATTGTTCTCTGTCAACATCCAATGCTTGTAAGTATGAGTCAGCATGAAGAGATGTGATGATGCATGCAGTAAGATGATCATGGTAGAGACCACTGAAGTTTTTAATGACACTCATGTCCATTGGGTGCTTGGCTAAGGTTGTGTTTGCAGGGAAGAATATTAACACGATGTGTGATAGCTCTACATTAAGTGAATGAGCCGGGCAATTTAGCCACTCTTCAAACAACAAATTTGCATCCAGGCATTTGCAGAGCTTTGGTAGATCATGGCAGCTTTGAGTGGTCCTTAAGAAACAATGAGGCCACTTGCTCTTTTCAACCACCATAAGATGGCATTTCTCCATTCCATCCATGTTTGCACAACACACCAATGCAATGTGATCCATAGCTTTATTTTTTTTCTTTCCCCTCCCACAAACCCTTCTTTCATCATGCTACAGCCTCTGTTGGGAAAGCCCAGTAGAAGAGACCAGGTTCATCAGCACTCAAGATGTCACGTGGCTGGAACTTCTCTAGAATGCTGGGTAAGATGTCCATCCTCCATTCAACAGCCACCAGAAGATCAGTGTCTTTTTTTCTTGCTGTGCTCTTTATGTTGAATCACAGTGTGGTGGGCTTTCCATTGACTAAACCAGCCATCTGATGGGTTGAACTCCTTCCCCTGCTCTGCTGCTAGCAACTAGCTTTATTTCTTCTTTGGTTTGGAGAGTTGAGCACCTTGGCCAAGCTTATGCTGAAACCAGAGCCACAGGGTTTCACCAATGTCTGCCTCCTTTCCATTGTGTTGATGCCTGCAGTCTTGGTTTGTGCTGCTTCTGTGCTCCTGTAAAATGTTAGGGCTGTTCTTTAGAATGGGTCAAACAGTGGACTTTGAGATACCAAATTTATGGCTACATGCACTTGCTGAGCACAGGGCTCACACAGGGGCTCCAGAACCCAAACTTTATTGGTGAAAGGTAGGTCCAAGCATTTGGAAGCTATGGTACACAGTGGAAGTCTTGAGCTATGTGTTCTTAGAGCCAGGAAATTGATTACAGGTAGGAACTCTCCTCTACAAAAGATGCTAATAAGCGCATGCCTATTGCCGGTATCTGAATCCTGTTAACATTCATAATGGAATGAGGTTGGTTCCTGACAGAGTATTGCCAGTAATTGGAAGTTGCTATTATCAGTATTGCTGTAAAGTGGAATCTACTGTAATTTATTTTTAAAGCCTTAGTTACATGTAATATAGTATAATCATGGCATGTGGGATAATCTGTTTATATTTATTTGTGTGGTAAGTGGTAAAAATTTTAAAAGTATGTAAATCTCACTTTCAAACATGTATATGCTTTTGAAAATCCTATCCAAGATCTGAATTACTTCCACAGAACTCAGTTCTTTTATCCAGTTTTCCATACTTCACTAAAGAATATAGTGTTTTTTTCAGTCGTGTGTGTGTGTGTGTGTGTGTGTGTGTAATTTATATAAGTAGGTGGTGGGTGAATAGATATAGACTACATGATGGAGTGTGTAGTGTGAAGGTTTTGTTGGCATGACTTTGGGATGGCAACTATACCCATCAGCAGCTTAGCTACTTGTGTAATGCCTGTCATCTCAAATGAGTACCAATAACGCTTCCTTGTATTTTCTGTATAATGCTTATATTTGAGAGAGAGTATTTTAGAATTATTTTGGCAAGTTTTAAAATTATTAGAGCTGTTTCATTTGTATTCTTCCACCTAAATTTATTCTGCCTTCATTCCAACCACACAGAAGTCAAAAGGAAATAAAATAATTAAAGCATTTTAAACCAAAATAGCTTTTCTATAGTAAAAATTGTAATTTTAAATGTTGGTACCTTGGGGTCCTCTAGGGCTGAAGCAAGTGTTGTGATTCTTACTGAAAGCTAAGAAATTCTCCTTCCATACACTTAAAGCTGCAGTTTCTACCATTGATTATTTCAAAGCTATCTAACAGGATATCTGTTCTTGGTCTGTGATTGACTGACTGTTGTCCATGTTACATCGAAGCAATTTTTTGAGGAAAATATTTTTGTAGCAAGTTGAAAAAAAAACTATATAATAGTGGTGACTGTTGGAAGCTAGTGGTAGGTTTGGGTTGTCAGGAAAAGTGCTGGGGAGATGGACTAGTATACAGAGTGCACGTCAGGCAGTCAAAGGTTTATACTAAATTGCAGCCTTGCTTTTTTTTAAGATTGTATTTATAACATGGATATCACCACTATATATGTGGGGCCAAAGTGTACTATAGGTATTGAGAAAGGAAAATGCATTTGCCACTTGTTCTAGGTACACCAAACCCATAAATTGATATACATTATATTCATACGAAATAACTGTTTGAATGCATGTGTGTGCACCCACAGACATTTAACTTGGGGCTAGACTTCTATTTATTCTGAGTGAGAATTTTATTTTTGTCACTAAAGCCTACAGGAGGAGGAAACTATAAACTAATTATTGTTTTTTAAAAAACTCCAGAAGTAAAATCGTATTTTTATTTTCTATGAGTATTTAGGGCATATAAAGAGACTCTCCTGTAAGAAAGTTAATTACAGCATACCACGTGTCAGCAAATATAGCTCATGTAGGCAGTCCTGTTCTATGTGTTAAGTTTATTGCAGGGTTTCTTTTCCCTTAGGTTAGGCAGAGATCTCAAATGAAATTTATAATTACCATCCACCCTGGAGCTCTCAGTTGATCTAATGACTAAATATTTAATTTAATAATGGTTTTTCCTTCTGATCAGGCTCAGGCATTTCATTCTCTTTCAGGTAAAATGAAAGCTAGACTGCAATGGCTGCTAGAGGTTTTGCATGTTGTAAGGAGGGTCCCCTGCAGTGGTGAGCCTATGCACCGCAAACCTTGTTCAGCAGGAACGATTTTGTCAATGGGAGCTGAATATTGCAGGAGCTTTAGGGCCAGTTAACTATGTCTACTGATGAAGCATTTCTGTTCCAGCTCTGTCTCTGAAGACTTGGGCTGTAGACGTGGAGAGTTCAGCAGAAAGCATTATGGATCTGTGGAGCTGGTAAGTTTATATAGACCATTCCATGATTCTCAGTTGTTCTGAATTTTAGCAGCTTGTAATGCAGAGCTTGTGGAAATCTATTTTTGTTTATGTGCAGGTGAAATATTATCACAAAAGCATCACAAATAGCCTGGAAAAATAAGGTTCTTAGGCTGAGTTTGAAAATTATAATGTCTTAAATCTATTTTGAAGTGCATATTTATTATCTTTGCTTGCAGACCTTTCACTCTAATCTAAATCTTCTCTGCCAGTCAGCTGAAAAATAGTATGTATCTAGCATTTACCTTAAAAATTCAAAAAGATTGAAAATTAGCCTGTTTTGTTGATATTAATTTGAGGTTGACAAAAGAGCAGCACTATGATTTTATAATTGATTGATATTTTGTGTGTGTGTGTTTGTTAATGGGGTGGGGTGGAGAGGTTGAAGTTAAAAATGGAGGTATAATTTTATCATAGAAAAACCTCTGCCCAAAAAAATCCATGCTAATTTATTTTGTTTAAGATTTTTCTTCAAATCTAGGCATGAAGTGAACATTTTTACTTCTTCAGGAAGGAAGAATTTGGATACTGCATAAATTAACAGAGTATCAGTTATTGAAACACTGTCATTGACTATAGATAGCTAGAATTAAATTGTCCAAGTTGATACAGGGAAACTGAGGGAAGGGAAGAGGGAGAAGCTGTATTTTTATCCTTAATATAGGAAGGAATCTGGAATATCTTATTAGATAGCACTGCAATTTCAGGCTAGTAGAAAGTGTATTAATTGATAAGTATGCCAATTGTGTACACTGGTAGATTATTGTTCAGCAGTACGGTTGTGAAGAGACCAAGGATCAGATGTTTATACACACACACACACACACACAAACACACACACACGTATTTTCTATACTAATTCAAGGTATTATCTCTGGTGATTAATAATAAAAGAAATAATCATAAGAGGGCAAATTAACTGTTGTCTGCTCAACAGACTTTGTACCTACTGAAAGTATTTAGGTTATTATTTGAAAAACTATCTGCAAATTTTTATTCATCGGTCCAAAGTACACTAATTTAGGACAAGTAACCTTAATTTTTGGTTTGTTTGTTCTTTATCTGTTTGACATTTTGGACAATCTACTTTTGGTATCACATATGGGTAGAAACTAAATTTTTTTCTGTCACAATCGTAACTGTGGCTACAATTTTGGTGATGAGGTGATGGTGTTCACAGTAATTGTGAATTTTAATAAAGTTTGTGACCCCCAGGAGTGGTGGCTCCTGTGGTACCAGTTCCCTGCTGTGGGCATTGCAACCTGGCCCACATGGTAACAGCACAACTCAGGTTTGGCATGTCTTCCCATCTGTAGATGAAGATGGGGTGGATGTGCCAAACCTGAGTGGTGCGGCAACCTAATGCACAGAGTTACAATGCTTGGAGCAGGGAGCCGGAGTCAGGCCCAGCCCATGGGACAGGAGCTGTCACTGTGAGGTGAGAGTGGAGTGGGTTTGATCTTCTGCCCTTCCAGTCTCTTGATGCCTCCCCTCCTTTGTGGGGTGTCTTGCTCTCCAGTCTCCCCTCTTCTCCAGGGTTGGCTTGCTCTCCAACACCCCTCTGGAAGCCTTCTCTCCTCGCTGGGCTGGGCTGCTCTTCAACACGCCTTTCCCCACAACCCTGGGCTATGAATTTTCCATGACTATGGATTTTTTTCCCAGCACCTGTGCTGTGAAATTGACTAAATTGTAGCTTCATTTATATTTTTCTATCTGTTCCCCTAACATCAGGTTTTAAATGTTAAATAATGGCAGACATGGAGCTGAAATTGAGGGGACGATTTTGGCTGTCATGAAACGTGGTTTAACTTTTCCCCTGTAATTCTTCAGGCTTTTAAAAACAAAATATTGAATCAATGCTTTTTTTTCCTAAGCCTGTTCACTGCTTGAACAATTTTATTTTCTGCTGGGGATTTCCACCCTTAATGCAACAAAACCTGATCTACCCTAGAATTTCTCCCTAAATTACCACTGGTGCAACTACACCAGTGGTAGCAATAGCAGGAGATCTTGTGTAGACAAGGCACCAGCAGCTGCTGGTGTTTTTACTTACATGCGTTTTTGTCCCGCTGTGATCACGATTTACATATTGTATTTTAATCCAGTTATAAGCATTTGTTCTCACAAAAATCTTCTGAGGTAAATAGTATTATATCCATTTTGTTGATGAGTAAATTGAGGTACAAAGGAGAAGTGACTTGCTCTAGGCTGCACAGTGAGTCATTGGTGGAGCTGGAAATGGAGCCCATCACCCTTGACTACCAGTCCTCTACTCTAAATGCAGCACACACTGCCTCTCTGTACTTACACACCACACATTTCCAAATGTATTAGTTAATTAAATAACATTCATATTAAATAGGCTTTAGTTTGAATGTCGTCATGTAAATTTGGCAAGTCTGGTTTAAGAGTCTTGTGAGCTACAATTTCATAAAATGTTTAAACAGTCAAAGCAGCTTTTACAGTTGATATACTTTAGTTCAACCACAACTTATCGGGCTGGATGCAGTAATAACTTGGTGAAAATGTATGTCGCAAGATATGTAGTAGGTTGGACTACATGATCACAATGGTCCCTTCTGGCCTTAAATCTATGAATACATGAATTTATAAAAAGCAGTCTTTAATGATCCAAAAAATGAGTGAAAAAAATCAACTGAAGTAGGAAGGGAAGTAAAGGCAAATTATAACCAAAATAATCTTCTTGTACCCAATTTTAATTGTTTTCTGATTTATTATTTAGAAATCCTTATAGACATAGGCTGAAGAACTCTAGTGATCAGCTTGATTCCTCCTTAATAAGTTCAAAGAATAAATTACTTATATGTATACATCAGTTTTTAATATGCATTCAATACAGTATTTCTGAGCACATGTACTATATTTAGAATAACATGCTGCTTATTTAAAAATCCGATTCCTTCCACCTCTTAAATATATATATTAGGGCTGTCGATTAATTGCAGTTAACTCACGCGATTAATTCAAAAAAATTAATCGCAATTAAAAAATTAATTGTCGTTTTAATCGCATTGTTAAACAATGGAATACCAATTGAAATTTATTAAATATTTTTGGATGTTCTTCTGCATTTTCAAATATATTGATGTCAATTACAACACTGAATACAAAGTACACTGCTCACTTTATATTATTATTTTTTATTGCAAATATTTGCTCTGTAAAAATGATCAACAAAAGAAACCATATTTTTCAATTCACCTCATACAAGTACTGTAGTGCAGTCTTTTTACCGTGAAAGTGCAACTTGCAAATAGTAGATTTTTTGTTACAGAATTGCACTGGAAAACAACACAATGCAAAACTTTAGAGTCTACGAGTCCACTCAGTCTTAATTCTCGTTCAGCCAATCGTTAAGAAAAACAAGTGTGACAGGGTCAGGCCAGATGACTACAGGAGAGTAATAGAAGGCAGATGTATTAGCCCTAGGTTAAGTAGGTCCCTTTTCCCTGGGTAAGGTAACAGGGAAGGTTCCAGAACAATCAGGAACCTTCTGGAGACCATTAAGACAGACTGGCTGATTAGAACATTTGCAGCCAATCAAGAAGCTGCTAGAATCAATTAAGGCAGGCTAATCAGGGCACCTGGGTTTTAAAAAGGAGCTCACTTCAGTTTGTGGTGTGTGTGTGTAAGCAGCTGGGAGCAAGAGGTGCTAGGAGCTGAGAGTGAGAACACATACTTTTGGAGGACTGAGGAGTACAAGCATTATCAGACACCAGGAGGAAGGTGCTATGGTGAAGATAAAGAAGGTGTTGGGAGGAGGCTATGGGGAAGTAGGCCAGGGAGTTGTAGCTGTCGCACAGCTGTTCCAGGAGGCACTCTAGACAGCTGCATTCCACAGGGCCCTGGGCTGGAACCCGGAGTAGAGGGCTGGCCCGGGTTCCCCCCAAACCTCCCAACTCCTGGTCAGACACAGGAGGAGTTGACCTGGACTGTGGGTTCACGAAAAGGGCCAAACTGAGGGCTGCCGTGAAGCTCCAAGGTGAGCAAATCCACCAATAAGCTCAAGACCCACCAAGGTAGAGGAGGAACTTTGTCACACACGTTTGTTTACATTTACAGGAGATGATACTGCCCACTTCTTATTTACAATGTCACCAGAAAGTGAGAACAGGCATTCACATGGGATTTTTGTAGCTCGCATTGCAAGGTATTTACGTGCCAGATATGCTAAACATTCGTGCTTCGGCCACCATTCCAGAGGATATGCTTCCGTGCTGATGTTGCTTGTTAAAAATAAATGTGTTAATTAAATTAGTGACTGAACTCCTTGTGGGAGAATTGTATGTTTCCGGCTCTATTTTACCCATTTTCTGCCATATATTTCATGTTCTAGTAGTCTTGGATGATGACTTAGCACATGTTCATTTTAAGAACACTTTCGCTGCATATTTGACAAAACGCAAAGAAGGTACCAATGTGAGATTTCTAAAGATAGCTACAGCACTTGACCCAAGGTTTAAGAATCTAAAGTGCCTTCCAAAATCTGAGAGGAATAAGGTGTGGAGCACGCTCTCAGAAGCCATAAAAGAGCAATACTCTGATGCAGAAACTACAGAATCCGAACCACCAAAAAAGAAAATCAACCTTCTGCTGGTGGCATCTGACTCGGATGATGAAAATGAACATGTCAGTCCACGCTGCTTTGGAATGTTATTGAGCAGAACCTGTCATCAGCATGGACACATGTCCTCTGGAATGGTGGTTGAAGCATGAAGGGATATATGAATCTTCAGCGCATCTGGCATGTAAATATCTTGCGACGCCGGCTACAACAGTACCATGTGAAAACCTGTTCTCACTTTCAGGTGAACAAGAAGTGGGGAGCTTTATCTCCTGCAAATGTAAACAAACTTGCTAGTCTGAGCGATTGGCAGAACAACAAATAGCACTGAGTGGACTTTTAGGCTCTAAAGTTTTACACTATTTTATTTTTAATG